GGGGAACTCCCTTCTCATCAGTACAGAGGCAGAAAAGGATCTTGGAGTCATTGATGCCAAGATGAACATGGGCCGGTAGTGTGGGGATGCAGTCAGGAAGGCCAACCGTACCTTGTCATGCGTTCACAGATGCAACTCAAGCAGGTCGAAGGAGGTGATCCTCCCCCTCTATGCAGCACTGGTCAGGTTGCAGCTGGAGTACTGCATCCAGTTTTGGGCGCTGCACTTCAAGAGGGATGTGGACAACATAGAGAGGGTCCAGAGGAGGGCAGCAGGACAGGCCCTACGAGGAGAGGCTACAGGACCTGAACCTGTTCAGCCTCCACAAGAGAAGGTTGAGGGGGATCTAGTGGCCTGTTAAAAACTAGTCAGAGGGGACCAGCAGGCACTGGGGGAGTCCCTGTTTCCCCAAGCGCTACCAGGAGTGACTAGGAATAATGGTCACAAGCTGGCAGAGGGTAGATTTAGGCTAGATATCAGGAGGTGCTACTTCACTGCCAGGGAGGCTAGGATCTGGAACCAACTTCCAAGCGAGGTGGTGCTGGCTCCTACCCTGGGGGTGTTTAAGAAGAGGCTAGATGAACACCTTGCTGGGGTCGTTTGACCCCAGTACTCTTCCTGCCATGGCAGGGGTTCGGACTCAGTGATCTGCTCAGGTCCCTTCCGACCCTACATACTATGAAACTATGAATGTCTGTACCTAGCTTAAGAGTTCATATTAACATCACTAAATGAGGGTCAGGGTTTGCATACGGGAAGGCAGCATTCTATGGCAGAGAATCGCCATTACAAATGATCTGAGATTTTCAAGGTGCATCTCAGGGAACATAATTTCATTTCAAACCAAATCCACTTTAATGAAGTTGCCCTTGAGGTCCACTGATTGGACACCACATAACATTATAAATGGAGCAGGACCTCACCTGATAGGTAGTCCAGAGTCATGCCAGATATGGTAGGCAGCCTCCTATATAGTTGGCTGCCTTGCCTCTTTAGGAGTTTAAGGAGACTAAAGCTAAAGCATATGTCTCTGATGTTGTGGAATGAGCAATTCTGATCTACGATTAGACTAGAATCTTCTTCCTTCTTGCTTGAAATTAGTCTCTCTTCAGGAAGTTCACTTTCTGTTGTATTGCCCCCTCATGAAGCACTGAAGTTATGTGGATATGACCTATGAGAACATGAAAAAACACCATGGTACTTGGGAAAGGCATGTTTCAGTCTTCGACTGCTAATTTGTGTCTCTTCCTCTTCAGTATGAGAATCACTTAAAGTTCTGTGAACAGGCTGTCAACTGCTGTGGTCTTCATTTCCTAGCTACTCCCATGTTTTTCTATTTCACTATATTTATTTATTGTTAATGGCTAAATGAATATGAAGAACCTCATGTTGCATATCTCTGCTGTCTTGATACTTGCAGGTGTTTTTGGAGCAGAAGAAAATGCTAAAAACAGGGCTGAATATAGCACAGTTTAAACAACATGTACCTGTAATAGAAAAAGAAACAAAGGATTACTTTAAATCCTGGGGACAGAGTGGCAAAAGAAGTAAGCAACACCCCATGCTTTGTATTTCAAAAGTTACACTGAAGGGAGTGGCAAGGGAAACAACCAATATTAACATACTTTAATGGTAATGTTGGAGTGATGTTGTAGCTGTGATGTCCAAAGTATGTGAGAGGCAAGGGTTTTTGTTGGTGATATTTTTTTACTAGTTGGAATAGAGTGCACTTGGTTCAATAACAACAACCACAAAAATCTTTGCTTCTCACATAGTTTAGCAGTATTTTTTTGATAGATGATCTACTGCAATGCATTTAATGGAATGAAATAAGACATTTAGGCAAAAAAGTGCCAATCATTTTATGTTTAAAAGAATCAAATATGGAACTTGTTCACTGTTTACACAACAAATCTAAAGATTCTAGGAGAATAAAGCTGTTCAGAAATGCATTTAGAGGTGCACTGTTATGTCGGTCGCGTATCAGATCAGCACCAATAACAGGAAAATTAACATTATCGACAATTGGCTTTTAATGGCCGATAATGTCACTGGTAAATGCCATGTGCATGTGCACAGCTGCAGCATGCACGCAGCCAAGAATATAGCTGGGCAGCTTAGAGAGCACCATCTGGCCAGTAAGTCTGTGGAGGAGAAGGGGCATGGAGGAAGGAAAGGGCATGGGGAGGGCAGATCAAAGCCCCCACGGTGAGGGAGGGAGTGGGGCAGGTGCTGCCCAGCCAGGGCAGTGAATGTGACCCTGGGGCTGGGAGTGGGATGGAGCTGCAGGTGGGTGGTGAGGGGATGCTGGGTGGGTGGGTGGCTTCCCACCACTGCGTACCCCCTGGGGAGGCATGAGGGGTATGCCCCCCCATCTCCTCCCATATTTGTGAATGGGGTGAGGACAGGCTGCCTGCTGCAGGCTCAGAGCCAGGGGCAGTGCTGGCCTCTTCCTGGTGGGGGGAGGCACAGCTGTGTGGGGCAGGGGGCAGCACTGGGAGAGGGGGCTACAGGGAATTTTAGGGTGGCTGTAGCCCCTCAAAACCCCCCTTGTGCAAGGTAAAGGCAGCAGAGCAGGGTGTCCCAATAAGGGGTGGCGCTTGGGGGGGCTATAGCCACCCCAAAATTCCCTGTAGCTCACTTTCCCAGCACCCTTCTCTGCCATCTATTCCAAAACTTGCATGCCAAGTAAAATGCCTTCACATGCCGTGCTCTAACATGTGTGCCAGGGGTTGCTGACCCCTGTGTTAGATAAAAGGATATCCAGTTAAGAGGTTTTAAATGAGTGTTACTGCAACATATTCCTCTTTCCAGTAATTTCCCAGTTATCCCCTCTCTAGTGTCCTATGCCAGAGACCTGTGCAAAAGCATTTTTTGAAACAATTGCATTAAAGAGAAAAGCGTTGAGAACTTAAATTACTTGTTCAAGCTATACATTTCTTTCTGGAGAAGAGAAATGAATGGCCTGCAAATTTTAATGCAAATATCCTTGAAATGGTTTCTTACCAACCTTTTTTTCCTTGATTTTTTTCAGACTTATTTGAAGCATTTTCAGAGCTCATTATTTTGACAGCAAGTCATTGCTTACATGGGAAAGAAATCAGAAGCCTACTCAGTGAGAAGGTGGCACAACTGTATGCTGATTTGGACGGGGGATTTACTCATGCTGCTTGGCTCCTGCCAGGGTGGCTACCACTGCCAAGTTTCAGGTATTAAAGCTAATGCATGAAGTATTTCTTGCTGCTTAAGTGATTTAAGTGACTTGTCTGTACTTGATCTTTCTGATCCAGGTGTTTCTAGGTCTTTAAATAATGTGTTTTACACTCCAAAAAAGAAAGGAATGCAAGGATATTTCCTTTAGGAGGAATCTAACAGCAGTATATTAGTTTGTACTGATATTCCCTGAAACTGGAAATAGGACAGTTAACTCCTTCACATCCCTGCTTTATTAGCATTTAAAAGTATAAGAACTACAGCAAAACTAAATGTTTTTTCTTGGCATTAATGACCAGCTAAAGGACAATGGTCCTGAAAGAGTCTTTTTTTTGTGTATTATTAGTATATTTAACAAAAGAAAATATGATTTAGTTTAAGGTTGTTGGTTGTAGCCGTGTTGGTTTAAGGATATGGGCAGACAAGGTTCTTTGGGTAAATATGATCTCTTTTATTAGACCAACTAAATAGTTGGAAAAATTGTTCTTTGCAAGCTTTCAGGCACAAACACCCTTCTTCAGGCATAGGAAGAGTCTGCTGGTGTTGTGTGCGTTCTCCTGGGTGGAATAAAAGCCAAAATGCAGAGTTTGCAGGAGAGCGCACACAACACTAGCAGACTTTTCCTATGCCCGAAGAAGGGTGTTTGTGCCTGAAAGCTTGCAAAGAACAATTTTTCCAACTATTTAGTTGGTCTAATAAAAGATGACACATTTACCCAGAGAACCTTGTCTGATTTAGTTCAAGGCACCCTTTGGAGAATTGTTCTTTTTCTACAATGCAGATAACTGAGGACAAGAAGATAATATTTCAAGTTGCATCAGGAAAGCTTTGTAGGGATCAGCAGATCACTCCTATCTAATACCTTCAGCAAAACTGCAACTCAGTGTTTCTAAACTAAATGGGATTATGTAGTCATCTGGATTCAAGATTAGTAATTTAACACCATCTTTACAAAAATGATTGTTGATATTTTCTTAACTAGAGAAGTCAGTTTTACTCCACATTTAGGGTAAAAACATTCAGTAAAATACAAAAGATGTTGCAATCTTTTTATTTATTTATTTAATTCCCAAATTCCAGTGATTTGAATAGGATGATTGATTGCATTTTCCTGGCGGGTATGCATTTGTACAATTGGGATCACTGCATAGAACAGTGGTTCTCAACCTTTTTAGTCATGGCACCCCTCTACCATTTTTTTGAATGTGGTGGCCTCCCTGGTTGAGAACCATAGTTGGTGCTGTCTCAGCTTACCTCAGTGCTTCTCAACTGGGTGTTGCTGCTTCCAGATAAAACTGTCCTGCATGCCTGCTGCACAGCCAGCCTGGGAAGGGCTGTGGCATGTCCAAACAGTCCTGTTGCATTAAGGTTCTGTCTGTTGTAAGTTGGGCTGTAGTCCTTTCTGGTCTGGCCTCTCTTAGAAACAAAGGTGTGAGAATGGAATGGTTCCGTGCACCTTGGTTTCCAGGAGGGGCTGGACCAAGAAGGGCTACAACTGAACCAGCTTCCGCTTGCTTTAGCAGTTGAAGGCAAGGTTCCCTCCAAGGTGCGCGTGTGCATGGTGGCGCACAATTTCAAATCTTGCTGCACACCACCTTTTTTAATGCTGCGCACCCACCCAAAGAGGAGCTGGGTGCGGAGCATGGCAGAGGCCTCGGGGCCAGTGTGGGACATTTTACCAGAGGTAAGCTCTTCACTCCTCAGGCAACGGCTCCTCCCTGAGGCGAAGCAGAGGTGGGGACAGGGATGAGGGCTGGGGCAAAATGACTCATCATGGTGCAGGGGAACTGCTCTGGCTGTTTTTGTTGTTTGTTTGTTTTACCTTGTTGCAGCCAGAAACTCTGACTGCCACTGCTTCCGCTGTATCCAGTGTGCCAGGACATTCATTTAGTTACTAGCCAAGTGGGGGAGGAGTTCATGGCTCTGCTCCCACCCTTGCCCCAGCCCCAGAGAGGGATCAGGGGGCCCAAGAACTACATCTTGCAAGGGGTCCCCAAAAATTGTGGGCTGGCCCTGCATGTGATTTCCCCCCATACAAGTTTTACACCACTGTAAGTTTCTATTTTTGAATTAAGTCACTACTGATTTGCCAAGGCATAGCTTAAAAGAAAATACGGGCCTATAAACACCGTAGAAGGAAACCATTGCATGTAAGCAGTTCACATGACTTCTGGTGGTGCACAGAACTCTTTTACTGCTTCCTTTATTTTACTTTTCTTTGGCACAGTGTTTGGGTAAAGCTATTTAATTTAATATGTAAGTACCTATAGGAGTTTCTTCATCAATACACACTCAAGTACTGAGGTTATGCTGGTATCTGATTTTGTGTGAGGGGAATCAGACCCTAACCCTCTAGCTGTTTGTAAAAACTGACAATTTTAACTCTTAAATCTGTTCATGAACGTATAATACCCCATAAACACAATACCTTGTTGCTGTCCTTGAGACATGTTGCAGAGCCCCACCAGCCTTATTCAAACAACATATAAGAGTGCTTAAGCAGAACTCAGTTACTATTCAAGTGGTCATATGTTTGTTACACTATTAACGGGAATGGACTGAAGCGGTGCGCTCACGGATTGCTACATCTTAAAGGGAACATTGGTTGAAGGCATGCTTAATTTTAAGTAAATGAGTCATTCCCCAGGTAGTTGTCTACCCAAATTCCACTGCAGACACACACATGCTGTGGGCCTAAGAAAGGTTCTTTTGGATCATGCTGTGTCCCTACACGTCCTCATTGCCTCCCTTGCTGTAAGGGTTGGAGAGCCATCAAGTGTCACTTAGCCCTGGATTTAAGAAGCAACTGTGTGATGAGACATGTGATATACCTGGCTCCATTAACTATTTGACATGGGTTGTTTTAGAGATTCTTTTCATTTTAAGTAGTAAGAACTTTCAAGTTACTTGGCATAATAATAAAGGTCAGATTTTTTTCACTAATTCCCCTCATCTCTGGACAAGGAATTTTGAGTCCACCTTTATAGAAGATACAAGTCACAGAGTGACTTAAATTCACTATGGGAAGTACATATAGCTACTGCTACTGGTAGACTAAACAAGCATAGAATAAGTAACCTCTACTCTGCTTTGGCACTGGAGAGTGGTGGGTCAGCACCCAGCTTTCTAGCTGCATCATCTCTCATATTCTGGTCCTGTTCTGCATTCACAGGTTAGAGGGAACTGTATTGCAGTGATCTCTTTTGTATCATTGCTGCTTTCTGTTTAGGGAGAGGCGAATATTTGCATATTTAGAGGTGAAAAATAGAGAAGATCATTTAAAATGGTATTAGCATTAACAAGACCTGCTGATGACTTGAGAAGCTGGTTGGAGTGTGTTACAGGAGAGAGTAGATATCTCATTCAACACAACAAAGCAGTATAATAATGTTTTGTTCCAATGTTGTTGTGTCCTTTCATGTGTGTTTTGCCCTGGTGCCTGCAGAGTCCTGTGATGCTATGTCATATAATTCTCATTAACCCTCGTATAACTTGTGATGAAATTCTGTCTCTCAGATATTAGATATCTCTTGAGATACATAATTGTCAGTGACCTTTGAAATTGTTATAGAACACTGATAAATATTTAGGCAATGAACGATTGTCACTAAAATACTCTAATAAAAACATTCATTGGCATCCTAGATGTTTGATCTAAATGGGATTTAATTATTTGTAAGACAAACTATATCTGTTTTGATAGATCTTTACATGCACCTTTGTTTATTTTATGCACGGACACTAATAAAGATGCTTTGTGTTACAGGCGTAGAGACCGAGCACACAGAGAGATAAAGAACATTTTCTATAAGGTTATCCAGAAACGGCGCCAGTCAGGAGAAAGGGAGGACGATATGCTTCAAACGCTGCTGGATGTTCGATATAAGTAAGTGAAAATTGAAAATGTTGCCACTTGTAAACATTAGGAGGAAGTGTTGAGTATTTAACGCTTTTATACAGGAGTTTTCATTTACCAATTTTTTTCCTAAATTGCATGTTGCTTGTCATGTCACACATCATCCTTGGGTCTTAGATTTTCCCCTGTGTGCTGTTTGTTGTAGTCTTTGGGAGATGATATCCCTTTTCCTGTCTTTTTGACTGTAATTGTAACTGAGGGTTCTAGAAGCTGGTTTTGCCTTTTCCATCTCCTTGTAGAGCTTGAAGAACTTTGTACTTTTTAGGGTTGGACTTTGAGGAACCCAAATAGTAGACTTCAAAGTAAAGATTATAAAAAAATGAAAATCTGGCCCAGGTATGTTCTTATGATATATTATACAAATGATGTGTAAAAGTACCATGCTAAATCAGATTAATGGTCTATCAAGCTCAGTATCCTATCTTTAATAGTGACAAGTACAATAAAAGCGCTATTATCCGGCATCCCCCATTCCCAGGGGATGCCAGCTAATCAAATATGCCGGTTAATCAAATGTGCGCCATCTGGTGCACTCCCCAGCATTAGTGTGCCTGGGGACAGCGAGTGGCGCCCTGTGCAGGCTGCTTTGCCCCAGGCCACAGGGTGAAGAAGTGACAAAGAAAAACTCGGCTCGCGGCAGTGAAACTGGAAGTTCCCCGGAAGTGGTACTTCTGGTTTTGCTTTTGCTGTGTCCCTCGGATGCTGGTTAGTAGAGTTTTCCAGCTAATAAAGTGCTGGTTAACACAGCTTTTGCTGTAGTATGATGCTGTAGAAGCAGAGTGTATGAACAAGGCAAATGTTGAGCGATCCTTCTCAAGTCATACTTTTCCTGGCATCAACTGTCATTGGTTGGTGATGTTGGAAGATACGCCCCTGACTGCTCTTTTTCATGGAGGACAGATCCATAGGGAACTATTAATTTGTCTTATCCTTTTTTGAACATGGTTATAGTATCTGCAGCTACAACCTCCTGTAGTAGTGAGTTCCACAGTTAACTGTGCTGTTTTTTTTTCTAAAAGCCTTCCTTCAGTTTGTTTTAAACCTATTTCCTCATCATTTCAGTACCTGCTCCCTAGTTCATGTATTCTGCGGCTTGACGAATAACAGTTCCCTATTTACCTTATTCACATCCTTCATGATTTTATTGGCCTCTATCATATCCCCCCTCAGCTTTTTCCTTGCTGAAATGAAGAGTCTTAATATTTTTAGTTTCTCCTGACATTGCAGTGTCCCCATAGCCCTGACTATCTCTGACTCTTTCTGTACCTCTTTTAATACATCTTTCTTAAGATGTGGAAACCAGAACTGTGCTCATTATTCCAGATGTAGGTGTACTGTGGATTAATACAGTGGCATAGTGATGATGACATCCATCATCTCTCCATACAGCCTCCAGTATAACGTCTTTATCTTGCAGTGATCAAAGTGTATTTCCCACTTTGCTTACCTGTCCTGATTATCAAGTTCTTAAGGTAAAGAATTCTAAATGCTTACAGGTGAGGTTACCCCTGTGTTACAGTAGGAGTATTTTCTCAGGAGTTAGCTCCAAAGATCAAATCAGACGCCCCCTCCCTAAGCCTCTTGATAGTAATTTTTCTAATCAAGGTGACTGATTTTTAATTTGCAGTTTTCACATTTATTATATGAGTTAGAAAATTAGATTATATCTCCTGCTGGATATCTCAGATTCTCCTGTGCTACCCTCCAAGCCTCTCAATTTTTCAGCACTTCATCTCTCTATGAAATAGAAATAGGCAGATACTAGGCACTCTGTTTTCCATATACAGATAAAGAATGTCCGTGAACTGTTGACTCAATAATCTACCATACTTAAAAAGCAGGCTTCAGGAGAGCTCTTGCCAAGGTTTTATTTAACAGTAGATCCAGGCTGTGTATATAGATGTTCAGTTTCTGCCACAATCACCTTTCTTCTGGTAGAAACTGTAGGTGTACAGATGTTCTAGTTTTTTCTCGCAGAGCAAAAATGGCAGAAAAATGACCTGGCACCTTGTGTTGCCCCTGCCCAGGTCTTTGCTAGGATTTGACCCTCAGCTGCCCCTTTCCAGCCCCACATGCCAGGATTGGGCCCTGTATCTGCCCTGTGTGGTGATTTAACACACAGGGCCATGCTGTCCAGTTTGTGGGGCTCCCTAAGGGTCTGGAATTTTGGAAACTTCTCTCCTGCCACCAAATTTTGGACCTATGGGGAGCTCTGTGGGCCAGATGACACAACTCCAGGGGCCAGATCTGACGTGTGGGCCAGGGGTTGAGCACTCTTACTCTAATGTAGTGTTTCTCAACCCATGGGTTGCAAGAAGATTTCAGAGGGTCACGAGCCATGGGTTGAGAAACACTGATCCTGGGAAAGTGTGGAGACTGTGGCAGGGGAGAAGGGGGTGGGGGAGAGTGAGGCCGGGCTGGATACTTGCAGAGATGGGGAAGCTGGGGGATGCTGCTTGGGGTGGGATGGACTGTGATCAAGCTGCCTGGTGGGGGCTGCCACAGGCCTCCCCTCCTCCCTCTAGCACACTCTGCTGCCGCCCGCATAAGCCAGAGCCACTGCAGCCATCATGCTCTGGCCTGAGCAGGACGGGGGCAACTGGAGGCCCCTCTAGCAGGGCTGGGTGGGGGTGGCAGGGGGCTGCAGATTGGGAGTAGGGGGCACCAGCAGGGCTGGGGTGGGGCAGGGGCTGTGGGTCAGGAGTGAGGGATACTGACGGGGTGGGGAGTCTCTGGGTTGTGTACTGGCAGAGCTGGGCGGGGGTACAAGGCCATGAACCTCTGGAACTGGGTTCCAGTAGGAAAAAGGTTGAACCAGTGCTCTAATATACATCATCTTAATCTAGGGATGACCGTCTTCTGACAGATGATGAAATTGCTGGAATGCTTATTGGGTTACTGTTAGCTGGTCAGCATACGTCCTCAACCACCAGTGCTTGGCTTGGCTTCTTCTTAGCTAGAGACAAATCAATACAGGAGCAGTGTTATGCGGAACAGAAAGCAGTTTGTGGAGATGACTTGCCACCATTAAGTTATGACCAGGTTTGTATGTTGCATAATTTTTTACAGGCTAATTTGCAGTGGAATATTTCTGGCACAAACATGTTAAATTTGAAGTTAGTGACTGAAAGTACATTTTAGGTCAGGGCGGGTAATTATTTTGAGCGGAGGGCCGCTTACCCAGTTTTGGCAGGCGGTCGAGAGCCACGTGGGTAGCCCCGCCCCTTCACAGGTGTCCCACCCCTTGACAGGTGCCCCGCCCCCTGGTCATTATCTTGGGACCAATGTCCCAGGGCCAGCACTGGTGGGGCCCAAAGCGGGGTGCAGGCTGGCAGGGGTCTGTGGAGCCAGGCTGGGTTGTACCAGCAGGGAGCGGAAAGCTGGCCCGGCTCCATAGAGCCCCTGCTGGCTGGGACCCCATGCTCCTGCCACCCTGCTCTGGGCCCCACTGACACTGGCCCCAGACACCGGTGCTGGCCCTGTGCTCCTGCTGGCTCCCCGCCTGCTCACACTTGGTGCCCCCCAGCCCTGCAGTACAGATGGGGAGCAGTGCACAGCCCTGACCCCCTGCTCGCTAGCAGGGAAGAAGCTGTTGCTGAGTGTGGGGAAAAGTGGTCTCTCACCTGCCCCATGGCAGATGCCCTGCATTACAGGCACTTGCAGCCCACACGGGGCTGTCTCAGGCAGGCTGTGAGTGGCTGCAGCACAGGGTGCTGGCCATGGGGTGGGGGAGGGGCCACTTTTCCCCCGCTCAGCACCAGCTTGGCAGTGGAGCTGGGTTACAAGGTGGTGCTTAATTCCCCGGGGGCGGGGAAGCAGCCCCACCTCATGCCTGGCGCCCTGCGCTGCAGCCGCTCACTGCTCTGGACAGCCCCACACAGGCTGCGAGCGCCTGCAGTGCGGGGCGCTGGCCATGGGGTGGGCGAGGGGCTGCTTTTCTCTGTACAGGGAAGGAGCCCAGGGAAAAGCTGAGCAAGGGGGGGGAAAGCGGCCCCTCCCCCACCCCATGGCCAG